CCAGAAGTCGTGTCCGTCTAGAATGAGAAGCAAGCAGGGGATGGCAAGGCAACATCCTTCTGTGCCTTGCATTCACGGGAAGGAAGTATTTACTAAGTCAGAATGCTACCAAACATCAGATGTGAAAATTCCCTTGGGATCCATTTCACTTTACACTGAAAAAGAAAAAAAAAGAAAGAAAAGGAAAAGGAAAGAAAAAAAAACTACTCTAGAGCCTCAGACTGCACTACTAATTTTCTTTCTCACAAATGAATGCCATTGACTATAAAGAACAAATGTGACTACTTGTAGACACTTCCATTCAAAGTTCTTTCCAGACATACAAGCTTGAAATTTGGCCTCTTACCAGTTCAATAAAAAGAATTAAAATGTCATAGTAACAGGGTAGCATTGTGTTCATATAAAACTGACTTGAAGTTTTACAATTACTTTCTATTTTAATCATGGAGGTTCTGAAAAGGCTACCTATCAGGTCATCATAAAAATAATTGGGCAGGCAAAATGCCCAGATGTCAGTGTAGCAGTCTTCTTTCAATTTTAAAAAGTGCAAGCCCATGTATGTTTTTACTTCTGTGAAAATGTATTGGTGGAAGGAATTATTGTTATAATCACAGCAATCTGTGAAAAGATGTTATGGACAGGCCATTTATTAACGGGGTGAAGATTGGAAAGACCTATCCCTTTTATCCCAGAAATAGAGGTAATTTTTGCCAGTTCTTTTAAAGGCATTTTTCCAAAAATGTGAGGGTTAACTCTTGTGCATATCCACATTTTTGTCCACGTGTAATTATTATCATTAAATGTGTAATCTGAAAATTGACTTCTGGGTCACTGAGTAGTAAAGTGCACATTACGTCTCCTTGCATTCTAAGTGATCTGTAAAATGATTACTATCAGCCATGCACAGGCATGTGAATGTGTCATTTTCATCAGTAAGATTGTTTAAAATACTATTTTTATGGCGTTTTTAAGTTCCACAGGGAGTGCCTTGACATGATGCTTCGAACTGCTTCAATTTTAACTACATGTGTAAAAAAGAATGTAACCCAAAATACCAAACTATAAGCCTCCAGTTACAGAATTCATCCAACAGCTGTTGCACAAGCAATGTTGCCATTGATAGTCAGAGAAGATTGCCTACATAATAAACACACATTTAGACTTTGTGACAGAACAAATAATCATGTTACTTTTTAGCCATGCTTCTTAGACTCTAAAACTTGAAAGGTGACATATTTAGGAATAAATGCACATATTGTGAAGGCTTTGGTTTTTGTTCCTATATCACAATAAGTGACCTTTTCATTCTCTGAATCTGGGTTTATGTCTATAAATTATAAGGAAAACAGTCTATTGAATAATTAATGATTTAGCTATAAATGTCCTAATGGTATAAATGATATCATAGGTGCCTGTCATCATCACCAATATCACTAGCACCTCTGATATTCCCATTCTAAATGGAATTATAAGCCATTGCATATTAGATAATGTTATTTTGATTGTTAAGGTTAAGGTAAGGTCACTGTGACCATGAAAAATTATTGCTAGTAGGCAATATTTTCTAGCTTTGAACACAAAGCTAGTAAGCCACAGAACCAAGAACATTCCCTGCTCTCCTGATGTTCTAAAGTTTGCATCATCTAAATCAAAAGTTTTTCCCATTGTGTTTATAGGCCTTCTATGAAAGTAAAATTAATCTTGAAAGTCACAGTTACAGAGATACAGGATAATTACCAAACATTATGTCTTTATTACCTAACCAGAGTAATGGGATAGTAGGAAATGGGGCTTTGAAGAGAATTCTTTTTTCTTTAAATAACATTAGGTCTTTACTTTATACAAAACAGTTTCTGTTTAAAAAGAATGTTTGTTATGATGAATTTATGTTTGTTTGTTTGTTTATTTATTTATTTATTTTGGTCCCAGTATTTGAAATCATGGCTTTGTGCTTGGTAGATAAGCCCTGAGTCACTTGAGCTGCACCTTTATCCCTTTTTGCTTTGGTTATTTTTGAGATAGGGTCTCATGCTTTTGCCCAGGACTAGGCTTAGACCGCAATCCTCCTAGTTAGGACTCCAGTCAAAATAGGATCTCAACACAGACATATGCCACCACACCCAGCTTCTTTTTTAAGATGGAGGTTTCGCTGACTTGTTGCCTAGGCTGGCCTCACACCACAGTCCTCCCAATCTCTGCCTCAAGAGTAGCTAGGATTATAGGCTGAGTCACTGAATCCTGTCTCATTTAATTCTCACAGTACTAGTCATCATACTTATACCTTTTCTTTTAACCTGCAAAAAATACTATATCTAATTTTTACCAGTGGCATGAATTAAATTATGTATTACACTAGTTAGACAAAATAGTTCTTACTTTCACAAACCTGGCATTTTTGTGTTGTTTCAGAGATGGTGAATTGTGCTTGAGCCGATCGCTCGTCAATAGTTCTGATAAAATCATTAGAAAGGCTGGCACAACAATCTTCCAGCACTCTGTAGAAGGTTGGAAAATCAATTCCTCTTTGGTTCTGGAGATAAGGTGAGTTTTTCAATAAGGCACAATAAATTTCACATCATGTTCTCAAATACATTGTGATTGTCAAACTTATATTGAACACTTGATTGATAGTTTAATTATAAATTCTTTAATAAAAAATTGAACCAGCTGTACTTAATGTTGATCACTGAAGAATATAAAAACCAGAAAAAATGAAATCATTGTATAATCAAACATTTAATGATTAATATGTGAATTTTGAATGTATTCTTTTATACTAATGGGATAAAATTTTCAACTGAGTACTAACATTTAACACTTATACTGGATTTCTCAGGATGATCATATATTTTGAAAATTATTTTTATTTCTTCCTTATCAGACTTCATTTTGAGTGTCAGCTCTGATTTTATTGATTTGATTTATCCAATGGTTTTGCCTGTGTGAGTTCATGTAAAATGTAGGTAAAAAATCAGAAAATAAGTTTTCTATACTACTAGCTTAGTCTGTAAAACTAGGGATTTTAGCTGAGACTAACTCTTGAAATAAAATTCAATGGGTACATATATCCATTACATTTTCTATTATTAATAAGGAAAGCAGGGATATGCTTTCCTAACTATGGAGGAAGAAAGCATGTTATTTTTTATGCAGTTCCATTACAACCCTGTTGTTTGTTAATTTTAAATTAAAGCATTTTAGACATGAATCGGAGCTTTAATCAGAACTGTAAAAGTGATTTACACAATAAAAATCACTGCATTTTTCTAATATTGACAAAATTCTAAGGATTGTCTGGTTATTAACACAGATTTTGTTAGATTACCTTACTGATTACAAGACAAGGAACTGACCTACTCGCCTAGGTTTCTACCTACTCATTTTTCTTCTCTTTCTTCTTTTTCTGGTACTGGGGATTGAACCAAGGGCTTCACAGCATGTGGCAGGAAACTGCCCTACCACTCGAATCACTTTCCAGCCCTTTTGTTTCTGTGTTGTGTTTGAGACAGGGTCTTGCTGTGCTAACTTTGCCTGGCTGGTCTTGAACTTAAGATCCTTCTGCCTCAGCCTCCTGAGTAGCTGGGATTATGGATGTATGCTACCACATCTAGCACTTAGTCCTGTCATGGTTCATGTCTACACATAATGCAGTTTATAAGCAACTAGAAAGAAGAGTCTATGACACATAGATTTAGAGTATGCATAACAATTCATAGAATGTGTTTCAGCAAAGGTACTCACTGCATGTTGAAATTTACTGGAAAGAAGGTCTGGAAATATCGAAAGAGATGGATGTCAGAGAAACTCAGGAATGGGTAGACCACTTTTATCTTAAAGGTTTGGAAGTGACTGGAAAAGGAAGCAGGAATAAGTTTACAGCAATGTTGAGTGGTATGTGTTTGGTTGCTTCTAGTTTAGGGGAAGTTTTATGTATTATTGGGCCTAGTGTAGGATCTGATAATTTTATAAATTGCTATGCTCTGCATAGAATATGCCTTGCAAGTATGATTTATTAGACTGGATAAAGAAAAAATTTAAAGTCAATATTAAAAATCAGGAGATTCCTTACAATAGTATAGACATTTGAAAATTCTGGGTCTGTATTCTTCCTCAGAGCCATTTGATTAAAGACAGGAAGAACAGTCTCTCTCCAGTTTGACATTTTTATACTTGGAAATCTGTTCTCACACAATATGTGTACAGTGTCTTACTCTCTGTCTCAGCTCCTTGTTTGAACTTCAGAAATCTGTAAGAAATAATTATAAGGAATGGGGTGATACAATATAAAAAGTGCCTATATAATTTAGCTTAATGATTCATATTTCTCGGAGATAGTTTGCTAAGAAAGAAATATAATTGACTAAACAGAAAACATCTGATTTATGAATAAGTCTGCAAAAAGAAATTTCAAATTAGGTAGTTTGGCAAGTAAAGAGCCAATTAGATTAGGCAAAAGGGAACAGATAATTAAGAAATCATAGTTCCTTATTTTACATATCTAGCCAGGCTAAATAATATCTCAGATGAATTAAAATTTAACAAGTGCATGAAATAAGTAACACTAATCTAATTAATATTTCCAACCAGTTTTCCTAATGTCTATAAAAAATGAATACTGCAGATATTTATGATACACATGATTTACATTTTGCTAATAATTAAGCTATTGAAGCTAAAGGTGTTAAACATAACTTAATCCAATTCATTTACTGCAACTTTACAAATGAGTGAAAGTTACATTTGCACTTTCAAAGGTGAGCTGTTTTCAGTTATAATAACTGGTAACATGAATGAAATTAGTACTAGCTATATTTATATGGTTCTCCTTGATCACTAAAGATGTAAACAATAGAAAAACATTGAGAAAATATTGAATAATGCATAGAAAGTTGTCTCTTATTTCCAAAGAGAATAACTTGTAGAATGATCATTGTTCAATGTACAGTTCATAAAAATTATAATTGTCTTTATCAGCAATACCTAGTGAGTATTAATCAGTTTAATGCTTGTAATAAAAATTGAGAACAAGAAAATGTCTCATGTTTGATTTAACTTATGCAAATATGTTTTGAAATTCCTGCTGGTTAATAATCATCAAGTAGTTTGGAATTTTTCTCCTTATTTCTTCTTCATCTCTCTAGTCTTTATTTAAGAAAAACCTTATCATTTGGATCTCAGTATATTGTGCAAGCCTTTTTCAAACTTTACTTGGATGTTTTTGATTTAACTATTCAAACTAATTGTTTTTTCTTGTATGACTGAACTGTACTTAAAATTCTTTCTTATTTAAAAAAAATCTCATTATCTTTTGTGATATTCCTAATAAATTATTTATCAATCCATTAAAATGTGTAATAATTACTAAAGATAATTGTTCTTTATATTTTAGACATGATTTTCTTTCCTATTACTAATTCCTTCAACCTGCATGTCCACTATCATTTTCATAAGCACATCAGCTATTGGTCCATACATATTCATCGAGCAGCTATACATCTGGAGGGATGTTTAACAGAATGGTACCACGTATTAGTTTATTAGTACTTTGAAGATTCATCAAGATTTAAGGAGTTAAATCATTTTACACCTAACTTCACAGTTAAAATAGTGACTTTGGTTTAAGGGCTTGATTTTGTTGTTAATAGTTTGCGCTCTACTAACGTAACTTAACAAATGGCACATAAAATGCATTTGTTACCCATTGTGAAGAAATCTGTGAGCACTGTACAGAGAGATTATTTGATCATGTCCAATACTTGTAACAACATATTTTCAATATTTGGGTTGTCTTTTTTGCTAATTTTTCATATATTGAATAAAATGCCAAGAAGTACATATGACAAATATAGATGTAGAGAAATATGTAAGCTCTGCGACTCATCAGAACAGCTTAATCACATAATTAGTCTGAAAAATATTTTCAATTCTTAGTAGCATATATATCAAAATTTTTAAACCAACAAGACTTTGAGTTAAATAAACAATTACAAATTTATATATGTTTTCCTGTCAAGAAGAACTTGTTATTTATTATGTTTCTAGATTTAATTTAGGGGAAGCTCCCCACAATTGTTAAGTGACCAATAGAGCTACTCTTGGGTCACAAAGTTTATTTGGTGGCAGACACAAATTCTGTTGTTGTTTTTTTTTAATTTGGCCATTTAAAAATTATTGTATTCTGTTTTTCTAAGACCAGTAAACATTTCAAACATCATTTTAAGCATCAAGTATAGAACATCAAGTATAAAAAGTATTGCATTATTTGGAGATTAGATTAATCTAATCCTGTCTTATAAACCTAAACTCTTAATTTAAGAATAATTGATAGCTATCTTGATTGCAAGTCACCTATAGGTGTCCTTTTAAAAATTATTTTTTTTATTTATTCATATGTGCATGTCTTGTTTGGACCATTTCTCCTCCCTGCCCCCCCACCCCCACCCTATTCCCTCCCTCTTCCCTCTTATCCCCCTCACTTCCAGGCAGAACCTGTTCTGCCTTTTCTCCAATTTTGTTGAAGAATAGACATAAGCAAAAATAAGAAAGATACAGCATTTCTGCTAGTTTGACATAAGGGTAGCTATACAGAGAGATTCCTAGCATTGTTTCCATGCACAAGTGTATTACAACTCAAATTGATTCATCTCTACCAGACCTCTTCTCTACTTCCCAGTCACCTTCCCAGAGTGACCTCTGTCATTTTAAGGTTACTATATTAACTCCTGTACAGTGAACACATCAAACACTTTCAAGTTTCAGGTTTCCTACCTTTCCCTGTTCCTCATGTATGTGTTCTCCCCTTAGCATGTGACCCATGTCTAACAATAATACTGCATTTGTTTTAGGTCTAAAGTCCACATATGAGGGAGAATGTATGACTTTTGGCCTTCTGGGCCTGGCTAACTTTGCTTAAGATGATGTTCTCCAGTTCCATCCATTTACTTGTGAATGGCAAAATTTCATTCTTCATGGCTGATGTCATCTCTGTCTGTTAATACAAAGTCTTATCACAGAATGAGCCTTGGAAGACTATATTTCAATACTAAAATTACAAACAATTAAAAATGCATCTTTACAGTATGTAACATTTTTCTTTGCTCTAAAATGACAAAATAGAAGATATTATTCATCCAATTTTACCAAATTCTGAGCCAGGAGTTAAGTGGTAGTAGTCTGAGGTGCAAATGTAACTAAAAATGCTTTTCTTGAAGTATTTTGGGGCAATTTTGAATTTTCATTTGGTTGTGATTGTTTAGAATGTTTCTTTTAATACTAGAATATCTTTCCTATAGTGGGTAGAGCCAGCAAAAGTAATCTTTTGAGACAAAATTTGTGTTCTCTTTCTTTTTGTTTGTAGGTATAATAAAACACTTGGCATTTCTTAAGGTTTTGTTTTAGAGAACTGTGCCGTTACCAACTGAGCTGATTTAGTGATATTTTTTTTTGTCTTGAATCACTATCCAGAGTTTGCAATGTCTGATTCTTAATATATGCATCATACCTAGTTTGATTTTCAACTTGTGATGCATTCCAGCTGTATGATTTGTCACACAAGACTCTCTGACCGAGTTAATACTTTTTAGATTGAATTTTAGCTGCTGCAGCACGTATGCTTGTTGTTGACAAGAACCCTACATGAACAAAGAGTGGCATCTGGTTATAGGTTAGCTATATTTAACATTTCACAAGTGAAAACAATGTTTAGTAAATTAATTCTCTGGAACTGTGCAGCTGCTCTTTCAAGTGATGGGTGATGTTGAAAGGGAAGTTCTATTTGAAAATTCAGTTGAGAAGTTTCTGTACAGAAACTATTCCTGTCAGTTTAACAGTCTAAACCAACCTTTCAGTTTAAGCCAAAATTTCTTCACAAATGATAGTTTTTTTATGACTAAGATTTTTTAGTCCTACTGAAAGTGAAACATGTTTTCAGATTCTTTCAGTTATTTTTACATTAAAACAGTTGCTGGATATAGGTGTTTGTTTATCTAAATAAATTTCAAGAGTTGCATTTGAATCACCAAATGACAGTTAAAGACCTCTAAAAATCTTTTATTATTGTTCTTTTAAGTCATACACAGAAAACACAAGCCCCCTCCTTTGAATATCTGTTACTACCTTGATGACATATTAGGAACACTTGTACTTGTATAGACTGTATATTAAACATTAGCTACATTGATTCAAATTTCTTTAGCTCTCATAAGTTAAATTGAAATTTCTTTTTCTTATTTCTGAAAAATATCAATTATGTTATGGGCAAAGGTATAGATATATACCCTGGTGAAACTTAAACTTTTTTAGTTCAACTTAAACATAGCAATTTTTCATACTTCCAATGACATTTAGCTAATTATATGTAAGTACCAGTTTTAGCTTTAAAATTTTTCCCTATATGTTAATATTCTGGACAACAAGAATTGTTAAAAATCACAGAACTTTTCAAATTCCACTATACCTATAACTTTAAATTTGTGTTTAGCATTCTAGGGAGACAAAAAGTAAACTTTCCTTACTGTTTCAAAAATTATTATGCACTTAAGTCACAAAGGTTTTCACTCATAGTAATCATTTTCAATCTTTAATATATTTATCTCAGATAATTTTTTCATGTATAGATTTAAGCACTAAAATAGAAATTAAAAATTTGATTAAATAGAAAAAAAGAACATACAAGAGTCATTTCTCTTACTCATTTGTCAGTTTATAAATTTAAAATTTACACTAACAATTGTTTTAAATTTTGTCAAAGAAAATTTTCATATATTTATTTTGATCAATCTACATGAATTATTTTTTATTGCATTAAAAGGCACTTTTACCATTTTACTGCCACTATTTAAAAATAAACTGCTACACTGCTTAATATAAAAATCATCTTTACTTACTAATTATATCATTGAACACTATTTTATTCCAAGGGTTTGACAAAATCTTGTATTTTAAAACTTTCTTCAGCTCTTTTAATCTTCTTTTTACATCATTTTCTCAAGCATGAATAAAATAGAGATGTTCCATTACACTAAGGAATTTATAAGACATATTTTAAAGTGTTTTGCTGGTCATTTTCTTTTACACAGAAAAAGTACTGTTATTGGAAAGTCCCTCTTGCTATTAGCTAACAGGTATGGAAGTATTAACTTTTTAACGAAGTTAAAGGGATTTTCTCTCTTTTGCATTTCCAAGCTGCAAGATCTTCTTTCATATTTGCACCTTTAGTCTACTCACCTCAAGCTTGTAAACGTGTCACTACTTAGACCATGCATCTTCAACTACATTTACAGCAACCCATTTAAGTGATGTTTAAAGGAAAATGATAGCATCATCTAGTTTGATCATTTAACCACATCCGTGCAGTTTTTATTTTAGAGCTCGGCTTGTCGTTTAACAGGAAATGAGAAATTTTTGTTGAAAGTCAGGTGTCAAAGTTTTACTTATTCTTCCCTAAATAAATGGCAGTTAAAAAGTATAATCCAAAGTTTCTTTTTGTTGAAACTTTTAGTTCTATATGCTAACTTTTGTGAAGAATCACTGTGCTCTTGACATAATGAAAGCCTTCTACATTTTTCAACTTATAAACCCTATCGCTGCTAATTTAAACTCTGTTCCTCTTCATATGTAATATGTATTTTATTAAAGATAAACTGCTATGGTGTTGAAAGTATTTCTACCAATTTTGTGGTTTCATTAGTTTCAGATATAAATTACCTCATCCAAAGACTTTTTTTTCTGATCATAGTTACTAAGCCTTCTTATTCTGAAAATTATTATGACCTATCCCTGCCTTCTCTCAATTTAATGAAAGCTACCCTTAATGTTATTTGAATCCACAAACTTACATGGAAAAGTCATATTCTCTTGTTGCTGGAACGGCTCCAAATCATAGCCATCTCACATGCTAATTTGAGTACAGAAGCATTTGGGAGGTCCACATGACTAGACACTCACACGGTTTAGTTTATACATCCTTGGCAGAGATTGACGCCCTTTCATCTCAGATTGCAACTTGGCCACTTCATGCCTGTTTTCACATCTTTTGATGCCTTACTTAAGAGCAGAAATCAACGTAAACCAACATTAAACACTTTTCGATCAATTTTCCAAGAGCAACAGAATTATTAGACATAATAAATGACTTCCAAATTAAGAGGAACCAATAGGTTCATCAGGTGCATTTCTACATTATGCCAAGATTGGGCAGCTCTCTGGCCAGCTATGTCTATTTTCTCATTTCCCATCATCCAACTATTCAACTATATAGCATATACATATATTTTATGTTTGTATGGCATCTCACATCTGTGATCAGTTTGTATATTAGGATCGGATAGGCTAAGCTTCCATTTAACAAGACATCTTAAAATATATTCACCAAACAAGTTGGATGGGAAGTTTATTTCTCTCATGTAGTCATGCATATTTAAGAAAACCAATGCGTAGGACCAAACCAAGATTTACTCCTGTTTAAGATCTGGGAAATATTCTAGATGAACATCTAGTGTCTGGGTAAAACACTGAAAATTCAAATACTAAAAAGTAAAATGACAATAAGAGACAATTAGTGATTTTGCTGTGTAAAATACAATGCTGTATCTACTCCCTTTCCCTTTACTGTACCTATCTTACTTCTGCCCTTTAGAATGTGGAAGAAAACTTTCATATACATTTAATAATGTAGCAATGTAGTTTTAATTCTTCTTCATGTTTTATAAAATATATGATTTATATAAACATGTATGTTTTGTTTACTGGGAAATTCAATCTTTTTAATAGTGTTAACTATGGTCTAATCAAAGTAACTTCAAGTTATTTCCATTCTCCATCACTACATATCATAAAAATAACTGTAGAAAATTGAATAAGACTGGCAAAATATCTAGTTATGCAAAGTCTAGTCACCATAACTGTATTTTTACTTAATAAACTAGGGTTTTTTCAGTATATTTGGATAAATGAAGTGCTTTTCATTCCACAAGCGGATGTGTATACTATACATTTATAAAACCACTGTAAACATTGCATGAAAGATTTTTTAAAGCACATTATATTTCCTACAAAATCTACTTATTCACTAATTCATGTAATTTTGTAAATGACTTCAACAGTTCTTGGGTATGCTGTAATTAATGCAAAACTTTGCTTGTGTTTCAAATATAGGAAGAACATTCTTCGTTTCTTAGATGCAGAGCGTGACGTCTCTGTGGTCAAGAGCAGTTTTAAGCCTGGTGATGTCATACACTATGTGCTGGACAGGCGCCGGACACTGAATATTTCTCATGATCTCCATAGCCTCCTACCTGAAGTTTCACCGATGAAAAATCGCAGGTTTAAGACCTGTGCTGTTGTTGGAAATTCTGGCATTCTGCTTGACAGTGAGTGTGGAAAGGAGATTGACAGTCACAATTTTGTAATAAGGTGAGTTCTTTTTTTGATTTAGGCATTGTATTTATTCAAAGGCATTTTACTTAGAAACAGACAATTGGCAGAAATGTTCAAATTCAATATTAAGTATGAGAATTCAAACTTTTATCTATGATTCTTTGGCTGTGCTGTATCCAAACCTACCTCAGAAGAGAAAATTAGAATTACTTTTCATTGGAAGAAAAGGTGATTGTTGTAGCAATGATTAAAACAGCCTTGGGGGCTGATTAAAAACAGGGTTTGGGCAAATAACAATTTTATTACATTTCATACTTACAAAAACAGTATTTTCTTAGTGCCTTATCATTATGTTCATTAGTTTTGTATCACTTAATTTGTGGCATATGATTACGGTTGTCGATAGTGGTACATGCATGTAATCCCAGCTTGCAGGAAGAAAAGGTAAGAGGATCTTGGTCTAGGTCTGGCTCCAAGGAAAAACAAAAACCTTGCCTGAAAAATAGGAAAAGCAAAATAGGGCTAAGGTTATGGTTCAAATGATAGCAAGCATGACACCCTGAGTTCAAACTCTAGTTCCTTCAAGAAAGAAAACAAGATTATGGAGATTCCTGAGCAACGATGTCATAGATGTAAGCCAGTTTTACTGTTTTTATTGATAATGATTTTCAAAATTCTAAAACATAATTTAAAAAGATTATGTTTGGTATCCGGCATCAAATTGCCTTCATTACTCTTATTTATGGCACTTGTATATGTGAGTATATTTTACTTTTTAAGTTTTCTCACATAATTAAATATGCTTGTTTTTATTGATCATCACCAAACATTTGATGAATTATGTGGCTGGTGAGCTTTTTATTAACTAAAAAAATTATGAAGAGAAATGGAATTTTGATATCACTGATAATAGCAGTTTTTAATTCATAATTCAAATATCTGTACAGTTTTTGGCTTGTTTTAGTTTCAAAAAATTGTTAAATGAATGAAATATGTATATTGAAACATGAAAGATAGGTGTATAATATAAAGATATTTGGAAAAGTATACCAAATGGACATGTTGGTAAATTCTTTTTTTTTTTTTTAGGAACAAGAATATTTATTAAGTCTTTTTTTTTGGCATACTCAGTCATTTTTCTTTCTTTTTTTTATTGTTTTATTATTCATATGTGCATACAATGCTTGGGTCATTTCTCCCCCCTGCCCCCACCCCCTCCCTTATCACCCACACTGCCCCCTCCCTCTCCCACCCACCTCCTCGATACCCGGCAGAAACTATTTTGCCCTTATTTCTAATTTTGTTGAAGAAGGAGTATAAGCAATAATAGGAAGGAACAAGGGTTTTTGCTAGTTGAGATAAGGATAGCTATACAGGGAGTTGACTCACATTAATTTCCTGTGCATGTGTGTTACCTTCTAGGTTAATTCTTTTTGATCTCACCTTTTCTCTAGTTCCTGGTCCCCTTCTCCTATTGGCCTCAGTTGCTTTTAAGGTATCTGCTTTAGTTTCTCTGTGTTGAGGGCAACAAATGCTAGCTAATTTTTTAGGTGTCTTACCTGTCTTCATACCTCCCTTGTGTGCTCTCGCTTTGGTAAATTCTTGATGTCCCTTAAATACATGCTGGAATACCTGTGAAAATATAAGCCTAGAAAAGATCTTCTTGAAATAAACTCTTAAAAATAGTTGATTGTGTATGCATCAATAATGAACAGAACACTATTTTTTATAAAACAATTGTAGACATGAAAAATCACACTACAGCATTATCAAGTCAATACAATTTTTTTTCATTATTCATTTATTCATATGTACATACATTCATTGGACCATTTCTCCCCTCTGCCTCTTGCCCCCTTTCTCTCCCCCATATCCCCCAGGCTTGCAGGCAGAACCTGTTCTGCTCTTTTCTCCAATTTTGTTGAAGAGTAGACATAAACAATAATAAGAAAGACATAGCGTTTTTGCTAGTTGGGATAAGGATAGATATACAGAGCAATTCCTAGCATTGCTTCCATGCATAAGTGTAGTACAACTCAAACTGATTCATCTCTACCTGACCTCTTCACTACTTCCCTATTACCTTCCCATATTGACCTCTGCCATTTTAAGATTACTGTTTTAGCTCTTTTGTAGTGGGCACATCAAATACTTTCAAGTTTTGGGACTATCTTACCCTATTCCTCATGTAGGTGTCCTCCCCTTAGTGTGTGAAGCATGTCTAATAATATTACTGCATTTGTTTTAGATCTAAAGTCCGCATGTGAGGGAGAACATATGATTTTTGGCTTTCTGAGCCTGGTTAACATTGCTTAAGATGATGTTCTATAGTTCTATCCATTTACTTGCAAATGATAAGACTTCAATGGCTAAGTAAAATTCCGTTGTGCATAAATACCACATTTTCTTAATCCATTCGTCAATAGTGGGGCATCTTGGCTGTTTCCCTAACTTGGCTATCGTGAATAGCGCTGCAATAAATATGGGTGTGCTGGTGCCTCTGCAACAACTTGAGTCACGTTCCTTTGGGTATATCCCTAGGAGTGGGATTGCTGGATCATATGGCAGATCTATGTTTAGTTTTTTTAAATAAGCCTCTATATTGTTTTCCAAAGTGGTTGTACTAGCTTGCATTCCCACCAGCATTGTACGAAGGTTCCTTTTACCCCATATCCTCACCAATATTTGTTGTTGTTGATGCTCTTGATTGTAGCTATTCTAACAGGGGTGAGGTGGAATCTTAGTGTGATTTTGACTTGCATTTCCTTTATGACCAGAGATGGTGAGCATTTTTTCATGTTTTTTTTGGCCATTTGAAAATTTTTTCTTTTGAAAAAGTTCTGTTTAGTTCAGTTGCCCATTTCTTTGTTGGTTCATGGACATTGGGGGACTTTAGTTTTTTGAGCACCCTCTATATTCTGATTATCAGTCCTTTGTCTGATGTGCAGCTAGCAAATATTTTCTCCCACTCTGTGGGTGGTCTCTTGAGTTTAGAGACCATTTCTTTTGTTGTGCAGAGGCTTTTTAATTTTATGTAGTCTCATTTGTCCATCCTTTCTCTTAGTTGCTGAGCTGCTGGGTTCTATTGAGGAAGTCCTTGCCTATACCTATTGCTTCCAAGGTAGTTCCTGTTCTTTCCTGTACTAACTGTGGAGTTTCAGGTCTCATATTATAGTCCTTGATCCATTTTGAGCTGATACTAGTACAGGGTGATAGACATGGATCTAGTTTCAGTTTTCTGCAGGCAGATAACCACTTTTCTCAGCAACATTTGTTGAAGAGGCTGTCTACCTTCCATCGAATGTTTTCGGTGCCTTTGTCAAAAATAAGGTAGATGTAGGTGTGTGGATTCATATTCAGGTCCTCTGTTCTGTTCCACTGGTCTTCATAACTGTTTTTGTGCCAGTGCCATGCTGTTTTTATTGCTATTACTTTGTAATATAGTTTGAAGTTGGGTATTGTGATTCCTCCAGCATTGCTCTTTTTGCTGAGTATTGCCTTGGTTATTTCGGCCTCTTGTGTTTCCAAATGAACTTTAGGGTAGATTTTTCAATCTGTCATGAATGTCACTGGGATTTTGATGGGAATTGTGTTGAACATGTAGATTGCTTTTTGTAGTATAGTGTAGCCATTTTTACTATGTTGAGTCTACCAATCCATGAGCATGGAAAATCTTTCCACCTTCTGTAGTCTTCCTCAATCTCTTTCTTCAGGGGTTTGTAGTTCTCCTTGCAGAGGTCATTCAAATCCTTTATTAAGTTTACTTCTAAATATTTGATGTATTTTGAGGCTATTGTAAATGGAATTTTTTACATATATTCTTTCCCAATTTCTTCATTGTTTGTGCATAGAAAAGCTCATGATTTTTATAAGTTAATTTTGTATCCTGCCTCCTCGCTGAATGTGTTTATGGTGTCTAGTAGTTTTTAGGTAGTGTTTTTTGGGTCTTTAAGATACAGGATCATGTCATCTGCAACTCCTAGAAAAACAAGAACCTTAAAAGAAGAACTAATACCAACTCTCCTTAAATTTTTTCCACAAAATAGAAAGGGAAGGAACACTGCCTAACTCATTCTATGAAGCCAGTATTATACTCATCCCAAAATCAGACAAAGGCACATCCAAAAAGGAGAATTTTAGGCCAATCTCCTCACTGAACATAGATGCAAAAATCCTCAATAAAATAATGGCAAACTGCGTCCAATAACATATCAAAGAGATCATTCACCACAACCAAGTCAGCTTTGTCCCAGGGTTCAAGGGTGGTTCTACATAAGCAAATCTATAAATGTAGTATATCACATTTATAGAAGCAAAGACAAAAACCAGCTGATCATCTCAATAGATGTAGAAAAAGCCTTTGATAAGATCCAACACCACTTCATGATAAAAGCTCTAAGAAAACTAGGAATAGAAGGAATGTATCTCAACATTGTAAAGGCTATATATGACAAACCTATAGCCTGCCCATGACTTGCATGGGTGTGCTACATTAACCTGGCTAGGAGTAACTGGGAATGAGAAATAAAAGAACACATACAGATATACAGGCATAAAACAGAAAACTGGGATCAGGAGGGCTACACATTCCTAGTGGGAAATGTGAGCACCTACCTGAACCAGAGTGTTTATTTTATAGGTAAGTACAAGAAAAAAGACTCAGGTAAAAATCAAGCTTCAACAATTCTTAGATCTAAGGTAAAAGGAATGAGGTCTTGTGGACTAATTTTCCTAAGGCTATAGAAGCTTAATTACAACACTTCTGTTTTGGAATCATCAAGGCATGAAGGACACCTTATCTAAGGTATTGATTAATCTGGTATCAGGGAGTCTCTAAATAGTTCTGTTACTTTATCTAGTTTTGCATCAGGGGGCTGGTATGCATACACAGCAGGTTGTATTCTTCAAGGAGATGTGAGAACAAAGGTCAAGATACCAGATGCAGGGAAAAATATGGTAGGAGAGACTGTGCAAGCTCCTACTATGGAGAGGCTGTGCAAGCTCCATTATTTCCCAGTCCAGTGTTCATACCTGGT